TGTGAATGAGTATTCCGCAGTCGGTAGCGCCCGACTGCAACGTTCTTACTTGTTCGCTTTGATAATCCATGAATATTTAAAAAACATATTTCAAAAATATTTATTTATTACAAAATGCTAAACTGGGTCGCACTTACAGACGGATATACCAGCTCTCCAGAGAGGAGCACACGGAGCAACTATGAGGAGCCATACTATAGCCAATATGGTACGCGCGGACCTGTTGTAGCGCCAATCATAGACGAGGAGCAAAGGTAAGTTTTAGCTGATTTCTTACTATGCATATATAATTTCCTCATTATCGATTGAAATCGATAATTTCACTTAATTTTGTAGGCGCGTCCGACACCCTTTATCGTATTATGTAGGTGCGTGTAATAAATACAGAGACTTTCTATCTTTCAGTTTTTGGATATCAGCTCCGCCTTCCCCAAATTTAGGAAGAGTCTTTTTCAAATGCTAGATAACTTTTATCATCATTATCATTATTACGCTCAAATATGTTTATTAGGAAAATCAAAGAAAAAGTTCTGGATAAGTAGAAGTGAAAAGGCAGGCAATACAGATATTGCCGATTAGATATATATTTGCTACAAAAAATGTTCAGCCAATTTGTTTAAGGGGATTATAAATATGATACGCACTGTATAAGCCTTTGCTTATTTATATAAGAGGAATACGAAATATAACATAACATTATCTTTCGTACTCCTCTTGTAAATTGATCATTCATAAAATATTATTATAATTATACTTTAGCTAAATAATGATTACGTCGACTTTTGCGACTGTATTAATAGTACTGATGCCTGTGCTTGCATACTTTCTATCTCTCTCTCTCAATATTTTTAACTCTGAGTTTCACTCTCTTTCCCGTTCACAGCGATGTCGCCCTCGTGGAAGATCAATATTCGTTGTATGGGATCAAAGTTGGTCCAAATCGTCTGCCACACCGTGGTAATCAGATCTATGATCCAACCAGGTGAGCACCATAGGCCAATTGTTGATCATGCACGGAGTTATTGTATATCGCATAGTCACCCAAGAGCAAGTTCGACATGTGAATGTGAGCATTGTGGATGCTGCGGCGGCGTCTACTGCGCCTATAGATCTTAATACGCTTCACACTCCCATTTGTATTCGTTGTAGTAGCTGTTGCAACCGGGTGGAAGTAGGTTGTACCTTTGCTTTTGATTGCCTGCACAATGAGGCACAACAGATAGCCGCCAAAGGAGAGAAAGGCCAGAGCAGTGATGCTGATTTGAAACAAGGTCTGCAGCTTGGATGGCTTCTCTTCAACCCAACTGGCAACATGATCACTTTGCCATGGATGCGAGGAGCCAATGGCCGATGTGCCACGATCGCTCCTTGAAAAGAAACGTAAATACTAGATCTAAGGAACTTCTACAGATTAGTATTCTTCCTACCGATCGGCAGCCATCAAAGCCATTCGCTGGGGTCCATCACTCGTCTCACTACAGCCAGCGAGGGCCTCGTCAACGTTTGTCTCGTGGCTTTCTGCGTGGCCCATTAGCTCCATCGATTTCTTCAGTACCAACAAATCATGTATCTGAAAATTTGACAAACAGCTTGCGAATCGTTCTTGCGTGCTGGTCACTGTTGGGCAACAACAAAGCATCAAACGTTCTTTAAACTATTAGTTAGAGTCCGAAAATAGTGTACATATAGCTTACCGCTGCAGTAGGCCATGGTGCTGGCTATATTTCCTCCACACCTAGTCGACGGGCATGCAAGAAGCGACTGTGCGCCAAGAATGGCCATGGATGAAATTGTGCTACAACTCTAACGACTGCATCAACAGGGCTGGCAACGCTTGCTTGATTCAAATATTTCAGCTTTCAAGCCTACAATGTATACTGGCCTTAAAACATCTATATTATAAGCACTGCCTCTGCGACCCGACGTGAACTATATAAATATTAAGCTTTCAACTGAGCAATTGCACATAGAGAGCTTGTTGTTTGATTTTGATTTCATCTGTATATGTGTTTCCTAAATTATATCATGATATCCATATATTAAATAGGTGTAGGGTATTCGCTAGCAGTCACTGCCGACTATAGCACTCGTACTTGTCAAGCTTGGCTGATCAATTAGATCTTGCTGACTTGTCACAAACAGTGGCTCCGACCTATGTGTAAAATATAAATTGTTAAAATTGTTCAAAAGCGTGTCGAATGTTATATTTCCTTTTATTTTACAATATTTAAATATTCTTTATGTTGTCTATATGTTTACAGGCCAGAAGATTTGCATCGCATTCGTGTTGAGCATATGGAGCGTCAATTGGCGAACCTCACTGGATTGGTCCAGAAGGCATTAGTTAACCAAAATCCCCAAATTGCGCCGATACCGGTACCCACATTGGACCCCAACTATCTTGTCGTGCCAACCCAAATGCAAGGTATATAATTTTCTTTGCGTTATTATTAACGAAAAGAGTAAATTTTGGTGCAAAAATATTAGTGGTATTTGCAAATGTGTACCCTGTTATCTATGTGTACCCTGTTTATTGTACTATATTCGCCCGCATATAGAAAAATCGGGCTAAACCCATTATCTATGTATATCACGATCAGCAGTCAAGTGTATCAAGCCATTTTATTTTGTATGTTCCTCCGTCCGTTCCGGAACCTATAAGAACGTGAGCTTTAATAATAGATTCTGCCACAGATTGCACATATCAATAGCTTTTCTCATTTTTTGATGCGTTATATATAATCGAATATTGAACAATCTGTCTTATATATATTTTTATTTAGCTAATGGTTCCGCCGATGAACTATACATTAGAGAAAAGGCACCTAAGCTGGGCAAGAATTCATGTCGTAAGTGTATCAAAAGAGTTGCCGCATGCCTCAGTGTCCAAATCCATATTTTTTTTTCCAGAAAAATCCGTGTCCTTTGAGAAATCGGTTTCATTTAGTGACGATATACAAGGAATACCCAAGTCACATAGCCCCCTACATGCCGGTAAATACAAACAAATAAATAATTACTTATAGCCATCATTTTATGTTATATTCTTTATTTTAGCTTTTTTGCTTCGCATTTGTTTAGAGTTTTTTGGTTTAATAATTTTGTTCTTCTTAATCATCATACGTATTTAGTTAAGTCTCGTCGGTGTGGACAATTTATGCGTTCGTTGACTTTGATTTCATTCTGGCCTTTAAGTCTTTAAGGGGCTTTGAGAATCGTTGTACACCTATTCCCACAGAGAATATAAAAATCTGTTTTGCAATTTTATATTAACCTATTAAAAAAAAATAATTCTCTGTACCGGACCCAAAAGCTGATACGAAGCCAACCAAGCCGGCAATTAAGTCGTCTACCTTGCCACGTACATCCTCCCAAGGTAAGAGCGATATATGAAAGAAACGATGGCAATTATTTCATGAATATTATAATTTTTATCAAAAGAATCACGCATGTATTATACGCAAATCACACACACACACACACATATATATATATATATATATATATATATATATATATAT